TGAAAAATCACTGGACAGATGTACTTGCCTTGTACAGTATCTGGTTATGAGCAAGACTGGTAGTAGATCTGTACCTGTCAACAAATTTGGTGTGTGAACTGTTTTGGGGAATACTTATAATAACGTGACTTGCAGTTGAAAGTGACGAAGGATGAAAAATGTGAAATAGATCAACAGGAGAACATTGAATATTTGTAATATGGGGAAGGCAGCACCAGTTGACGATTATTTGAAAACAGTTACAAAAACATTTGATAATTGAATTGAAGGAGTTTTTATCACTTATTTACTCAATTGAGTACAGTGAAAAGTTTATAAGTTGCCACTTACAGCACCATCTTGGTACAATCTTTGTTACCGAATAGTGGAATAAAGGAAAAAGTTACATTTACAGCTATTCACCGCATGACTATAGGTCAAAAAACAAGAAGCAAAGTTAAAAAGACAGACATCACGGTCTCTCTCCAACGTTCTCTGCAGCAGTCCAACACGGGGGCCTCCACGTGGTCTGACCACTGGCTGCCACTACGTTCTGTGCTGGGCCGCTATCCCTGCTCCTGCACCAGGTCGCTTTCCTCGCTCCCGCAGTCCAGGCCAATGGTGTCGCCGATGACCCCACGCCAGAGGCCGAGAGAAGAGAGGAGGGAAGAGAAGAAAAAGAATGGGCAGAGTGGAGGAGCTTCGGCTGGAACATGCTACTCCACCGCCATCTTACCAGATAAAATCTAGTTGATGAGTTGCCTTCCTTAGTAATGATTAGAATTTCACAATAATTGACTTTAACAGTTGTCATTGGTTGCGTTCAGAATTGCACAGAAGCTTATTTGATTTATTTTCCAACTTTTATTTGGAGTGAGCTTTTTGCACCATGGAATTTATAGTCACAATGTCTATGGGTTTGTCTTTACTGGAAGATACACTGAGTTATACACAAATAATTAGTATGCATGAACTGAACTACAACACCTGGAGCATGCTTTGCATTACGTCAAATAAACTTGGTTTTGAATTTTATAGTTTTTATGATAGTTTACTTTGTTATTAGAATCTTAGAATTAGTTTTGTCACATGTACTTAAATGAGGACGGTGAAAATTCTAAAGTTTGAGAAGATTTGTAGCTTGGCTTATGGATGAGGTTGTAGGCGTGCTTGCCAAATCGGTGGGTTTGCTTGTAAATGTTTCGTCACCCTGCTAGGTAACATCAGTGCGCCTGCAGTGAAGCGTCCGTGTTCTGTCCTGCAGGACTTAATTTCTGTTAAGTTGGTGCCAGGAGCTTATTGGAGGCTAGGTGCTGCAGTAATTCCACAAGTTCTTGTTCATGTATGGTTTGTCTCCTCAGTGCTTTGCTGATAGTGGATGGTTGGAATGGTGGAAGGTGCCCTTTAGAAAGTGGTTCTTCATCTCCTGGTTTTTCTCCGTTCCATGCACAACACCTTTTTAATGGTTTAAAGTTTTAGCAAAGATTTGTAGCTCAGGTTTTGGGTGAGGTTGTTGACTTGCTCACCGAGCTGGCCTGTTTTTGTTCAGACGTTTCGTCACCATGCTAAGTAACAGCATCAGTGAGGCCTCTGATGAAGCGATGTTTTTCTACTCCGCTTGAAATTTATATTGTCTTGTCTGTTATGGTGAGTAGTGTTACTTCCGGTTTTGTTCTATATGGATTTTATGTGGATTCCAATTCTGTTTGTTTGCATTATGGGTTGAGATCCATGCCTCTCGGCACCTGTGGATGAAGTTGCAGAGATATCCGTTCATAGCGAAGATTTTGTACAGGTGCTCGTGCTCTTCCTCTTTCCTGCGTAGTAGAAACGTCTGAACGTGACAAAATGTCTGAACGAAAACAAGCCAGCTTGGAGAGCAAGTCAACAACCTCATCTTTTTTTAATGGTATCTGTATCTAATCAGTGTGGTTTCTGAGACCAAGCTGATTGTCTTGTGAAATTCTACTAAATGAGACAATGAATGATTTATATCACAGCCAACAAAAGTGTCTAGCTGGTTTGTCGGTAAATTGGCGGGGGGGGGATGAACTGAGTGACAGGCTTTTCTCTACTGTGCGTGAGTGAGTCAATAAATATCTTCAAGTAATTTTTAAGTGAAATGAATGAATATCTGATCGTGATTTATAAGGCTTTACTGCTTTCAAATGAGGTCTACGATGGTCAAAAGAGTAAAACAACAGATGTGACGCAGGTCCCAATACTGACTTATTGTCCTTTCTTTAAAAATTAGATCCGGTTATCTATTTCAAAACATTGAATTCTGATTTTTTTTAATATGATCAATTTTTGTTTCACAGGCTTTTTGTGCAAGGTTATTTGATCAATCTTTAATCAGATTTTTCTGTTTTGTTAAGCATGGTTTGGAAAATTACAGAACTGACTAAATTTAAAGTGGAGTTAAGAATTCTATCTTTAAACTTAGTGGGGGCGGGAATTAAAGGTGTGCTTCCATATATTGTCTTCATCTTCAGAGCATCCCAAAGTAATTTTCAACAAACGAAATATTTCACTCCATCGCTGTTGTAATGGAGGAAACATGACCATCAAACTGTGCATGACTATGCCCTGCAAAATAAAATGTAACAAATGTCCAGTCTGCTCTAGTGATGTTGGTTGAAGGGGTGAATATTGACTGGGACACCAGGAGAGCTCTGCTTCTTGGAACCAGTGAAATGAGAGCAATTCCATCTAATAGAATCTCTTTTGAAGGAAAGGAACCTCAATACTTCCTCTGTAATGCACTGGGAATGTCAGCTTTGTTTATGTTATGTCTCTGGAGAAGGACATGAAACCACAACCTTCTGATTCAAAGGCAAAATCACTACTGAATGAAACATAGCAGTCGAAAGTTGTAATTTATAAAATATATACTGAAATGCCTTCTTCTGGGATGTTAGTTTATTTGTTGGGGAGAAACTGCAAAATGTATTACTGAAATATTTATTTGACGTTTCTGCAGAGGCATGATGATAGTTGAAACTTATTCTAAGCATTTCTCCATGTTTGCTTTCCTGAGACTAGAAAGCAGTGCCGAGATTTTGTTTGAAATATTGTGGCTATTTATAATATGAAATGAACTGGCTGGAGACTTTATCTGACTAGGACATTTGTGGAATCATTCGTCATGGTACATCTCTTCAACTCCTCGCACCATTCATTCGGAATTTACTTAATTGAAGAATGTTCTCAACAGTCCATTTAGCATTGGACAATAGTCTGTGGCTCAGCATCCTTTACTGATTCTGGAACATGCCCCATTTATGGGCTGGTTCACTGCAGCATAATCCGTGCAACATCCCGATGGCTTCCTCCCACATCCTGCGCACTGCCTTAATCTAGTATTGCTGCAAATTTCTTTTCAACTCCCTACCTCTTCATCACCAGCAGAGACCAAATTACACAAAAAAAAATTCATCAAACTTCTGTGTAGCACTGTCGGTCAATCTACCTTGCTGTTGAAGTGTTTACATTTTTTGTTCTCCCCTCTCTAATTGGTTACTTTGTATTCTGCTCAATTACGGAAGTGTAATGACTCATAATACAAATCTGTGTTCGGTTTTTTTATTTTCTAAATCACATCCCGATTTGGTGTAATAACTCCATCCCAAAGTTCAGCTAAGCAGGCACCTGGAGCATCTCTAGTTAAAGTACAGCCATCAGTTGGTACTTCAAGCAATCTGCTGAGTTGAGGACAAAGTTCTGAGCCAAGCCAACACATTATAACTGCAGGTCACAATGTAATCCAACCTCCGTTACACGACATGTTTCACAGTGCCATTGTTTTGTCAGACTGACCTAGCATATTAGGATATATGGATATTGAGGTCAACAGGTATTGGGAAGAGGCTCATTTTCCATGCAAATACTGTTCAGGCCAGTTAAACTGGTGCATTTGTGTTGCACATTCAGACAAAATCCAGACTCTGAAATTTACTTTATCGTCCCTATTGCCTTGCTGCAGCACAGTCTTCAGTGCTTCATGACCTTTGGCTCTGTGTCTTGTCCACTTGCCTGTTGCTTTCAAGCACACACCTTTTTGTAGCATCTGCTCAATCCACGAGTTCTTCCTGTGTCCTTTGCCCTTTGACATTTGGCTCATATTCCGAACTCTGTTTCTCTTATTTTAACTTTGACTGCTTATGTCTTCTTTCATTTCATGCTCTCCTATTCCCAAAGTAGAGTGGAAATATGCCATATTGTAATTAAAAAGAACCCTCAGATTAAATTGAATGTTAAGGGAAAGGTGTATTATTGAAAATCTGCACTTGGCAGCTATCTTTTTATTGTTTAAAATAAGTGTTACCATTGAATGCTTTCTTTAAAACAAAAAGTCCTTGTGGTATACGAAAGTAAGTTCCTGGAATCCTAATAAAGAAGACAATGAGTGCAAACAAGATACACAATTTTGCTTAAGAGCACTGGCCTTGGGTATTTGAGTAGATCTTTAACAGTATTCTGTCCTGAAGTGATGGCAATGGCTTGAAGACATGGTCTGGCCCATAACCTGGGGAAGCGGGTGATTCAGATCCATCTTAGAATGAAGTAGATCTGGTAAACTTTTCAATTCATGTGGTTTGTCACTGATGTTTCAATAATTTAAGCCATTGTTAATATATGCAGTGAGGAAATTTAAATTGAGAGTTAAATGTGGTACGATAGAAGCACTTGTAATTGGATTAATCCATGTGTTTTCTAGAGAAATTATTTTAAACTAGACTGAACTGGTTTTGCAAGCTATATATTTAGCAGGGAAATCCAGGAGTAGAGGTGGAGGGAGAGTGGAGTTGAGGTAAAATATCAGCCCTGATCATGCTTCAGGTGCAGGAGGCTCCAGAAGCGGTATAGCGTGCTGTTTCTATTTGTTATTAAAGATTTTAATCGGACACTTGCATTCCTATACTAAAAATAGGCAAGCTCTTAAGGTGTAGGGGAACCTAGATCTTTTTAACGTACAGTATATTATACAATGTATTAACCTCCGTATCATCCTACCCCAGGGTCCTCAAGCAGCAAGATTCCAAATCAAGCCACGCCAAAGAAAAATGGAGTAAAGAATGGACCAATGAAAAATAAAGACGATGAGTGTTTTGGGGATGGAATTGAAGTATTCCTTGACACAGACTTTGATTTTGAAGGCAACCTAGCACTCTTTGACAAAGCAGCAGTCTTTGAAGAGATAGACACTTTTGAAAGGAGGAATGGAACACGGTCCCGAGGAACACCGAATGAGAAGCCGACGAGATACCGCCATGATGAGAATATTCTGGAGTCTGAGCCTATTGTCTACAGGCAAATCACAGTGCCACAGCATAGTGGCAAAGAATATTGCACCGGTGAGAATAAATAGTTGTAAAGCTCCTTTAACTGGGGATTAAAGGAATCGGTTCCATTTTAAGTTCTCTTTGGGGGAATTGGTGCACATGTACCTGGTAACTTGTTCTAAGATACTTTCATTGAAAATGCTGAACCAACCTGTTCTTCCTTAATTCTTGGCAGACTGGCACATGTCAAATATGATGTCAATTAGTGGGTATACAATATCCAAAAGTATATTCTTTATCTGGCCAATATTTAGAGGTACAACTTGTCAAAGAGTCTTTATGAATGTTATATACACTTACAGTATTCCAGGTGATTTATGCAGCTGCACATTCACAAGAAATTTGAAGTTTAGAATGTTGCATTCTCCTATCAAAGATGTATGAACTAACTTGGTTTCATGTGGAGTCTAAAAGAATCTAACTGCAAGACTTGACCGGATACAAGGAGGAATTTTCTGGGACGGAAATTAAAATGAAATAGTTAATTTATTTTCCTGGGAAGACTTTTGGATGGAATTGATCTGATGGTTTGCAAGTTAGTAAAGCTTTGGATTCTGGCCATGTGAGGCTCCCATGGATGAGGAAAACTGAGGGCGAGGGAGATGTATTGATAAAGGCAGCTCTTAGAATCGTAGAATCCCGACAGTGCAGAAAGAGGCCATTCGGCCTGTCGAGTCTGCACGACCCTCCAAAGAGCATCCAGACCCAGCCTCCCCCTCTAATCGCATAACCCCGCATTTCCCATGGCTAACCCACGTAACCTGCACATCTTTGGACTGTGGGAGGAAACCCAGGCAGACGCAGGGAGTATTTGCAAACTCCACACAACCAGTCGCCCAATGGTGGAATCGAAGCTGAGTCCCTGGTGCTGAGAGGTAGCAGTGCTAACTGCTACGTCACCGTGCTGTCTTCCCCGCCCTTCCTCTGTTCCCATCACCCCAGAAGAATTCAATTCAGGAGACATGACCTGTAGTAATGTAATCTAGTGTTGTCATCTCCATCCTTTTATATGAGGATGTGACATGAGTTCCCTTGTTGTTCTGTGAATTTAATGACTCGCTCAGCAGTCCTTCTATTTGAGTCATGAGTTAGCTAATTTCTGCTAGTAGGATTGTTGATAATTTATGAACGGTGCTTTTGCACTTGGACAAGCTTAGATTCACATGACTGAAAGTCTAACTTAAGTTCCTTGGTAGAAGATGTGGATGAGGACAGAATTGGATATCATGCTTGCCATGGACAAATAGCTCTCCAGCATATTTTGACCAATTTCTTGCATGAATTATTGCCACCCAGTTGTGGAGGATGGCATGTGATAACGCATCCCATCATGGGCCCGCACCTTTAAATAGAGGGTGGAAGGCTAAAACTACTTGTTAAACTGGGAAACGGTTTGGAATTCCCTTGAGCAATTCTTTGCCCTCCAGGCTGATTTTTGTCTTTGCTCCATATTATTTGCTACCTCTAAAACAATGGCCTCACATGGACTAGATTTACTTTTGAATGTTGTGGCTTTGCAACGTAATTGGACACGTGACAACTGGTCTGCAAATAATGTAGTGTAAAACATCAGCTGCCTTGGGTCAGACGAAAGATCACAAACTATTTATGGAATATTGCCGAGAGATTTTCCATAAAACCAGTTCAGTTTGGTGTGTGGTTGCTGCTCAAACAAAACTTTTGCAACTAATTTTTTTGTGGTCTGCTCTTTTCATTCATATGGTCACAAATGAAAGATATAGAATTGGTCATTGTTGAAATATTTTTGCATCTCCGTGTAATCGACTAAACAAAAGTGACAGAATACTAAGTACTGACAAGTGTATCCTGATCTTTCCCTCACCAACACCACCACCACCATTCTCCTCCCACCCCACCCCAGCCAGGATTAACTTTTGGAAGAATTTAAGGTGTCTGGCCAAAGTTCTTGCATACTTTAAGCTGTTGTGTGGTTGACCATTTGCTTCTGGGAGGCTTCAGAGCTATGTCTTTTCCTGCCTACAGATGCATCCTAAATGATAGATAAAAATGCCAATCACCCTTGCCCCTATAATCGTTAAAATCTGCTTGAGCTCCACCTTCTTTCTTCCTTATCGTTGTTTGTAGTATTTAAAAGTGCTGTGTATAAGTGCAAATTATTATTAAGATAATGTAAAACTTCAAAGCCTGAGGATTAAACTTGGAGCTTCCTTAATCAGGGTGATTTAGTACGATGTTATGTATTGCTAACCATTAAGCAGTCACAAATTTCATGAAGGATCTTTGTATACAATACAGATGCAGTGTTTGTTAGGTCACAGAAGCTGAGCAGTGCTGTACATTTTGAAAATTGCGTGTAGGCTTATTGCTTGATAACCTTGCTGGGAAGGGCTTTATCCTAAGTCTCACTGAAGAAATTTCCTACACCCTCCTTTAATCTATCTCCTGTCACCTGTGATTTGCTTGGAGGATTTTACTTCAAGTTTGCCTCAGGGTTCCTACCCTGCCACTTTGCTTGTTTTGAGGCAGCAGCTGAACTTGTTCTGTCTCATGCATATGATACAAGTGTTTCGTTTGTATGTTTCTTATGGGCAGGACTGCACTATTGTGGAGAGCAATGTTTGATTGTTTTCTTGTGGTAAGTAGTGAGTGCTGCCCTGTTGACTGCCCTTACAAGGGTTTAGCAGCTTTATTTAAATAGAGTTAACAGAACTTTATTGACACAGTCTTCTGAAGAATGGATTGGTTATTTTTTCATGCTGCTGTTAAAAGCAATGCTGTATTTCGCTCTTAAAAAATTAATGTCACAAATTATACAACTTTTGATGTTTTGTGCAATAAATCCTAACATTGTTTTCAAAAGATTTCAATCTCTCCCTTCACCTTCATCCTTGCTGCTGTCACTCCACCCTATATGTTTTTCTTTTCTAATTCCTGTCTCTAATCTCTCACCCCATTTTATTTGTCTGTTTTGAAGTTAGTTTCCCAGTATGGTTGGATGACGGGGAGAGCACCAGCAAAGGAGGTTAATGACAGCTAAATTGGATCATCATCATCATCATCATCATTATGATGAGCAATGGTAACTGGAAATCGTTCAGAACGACTTCTAAATTATATTGCCTTGTTTGAAAGTCTTGACCCCAAGTATCACCTAGGCTGGAGACAGAACTTGGGAGTAAATAGGCAACAGCACCATCTACTTTGGAGACAAAGTAATGCAGAATTTCAGTTAGCTAAAGTCAATTAAAGGCAGAAATAGTGAAGATGGTGTCATAGAAGTCAGTGCTTCAAAACAGCAAGTACATGTATATACTTTTTGATGAACAATTAGGGACTGGCAACAAATGCTGGGTTTGCAAGCGATGCTTTGATCCTTGACAGAATATTGAAAGTCTTTCATAATATTCAAGAAACAGCTTTTGAATGTTTCTGGCAACAGTAGTGTTCCTAAGAACAACCATGTTCCTACTAAGACACAGGTCTGCATGGAATTAGACTGCAGGTCATCCATGACTTCACTAAATATCTTTCCGAGTATACTGCAGAGGCTAAATCATCAAGTCTTGTTCCCATCTAACACCAAATGTAAATAAAGCATAGAACTATAATTAGAAACTCTTTTGGAATATGTCTTCTATCAGCAAAGATTTACCCTCTGAAAACAAATATAAAACACAAATTTCTCATTTTCATGTGTGGGAACCCTTTTTTTGACCAATTTGGAGGCCAATGGGAAATTTCTCTTCGTCAGATTCACTACTAGACTGTTAGTCTTTATTGAACATTTCCCAAAATTTAATTTGAAAATGCCTTTTCTCTCCCTTTTATCTGATTAAATCAGATTGAATGCTGTTTCTCCAATTCTACGTAACTGGAGCTGATCGTTATCCATAGAATCATGTAAAGTTTTCTATCGAACTAATCAAGTGAAAACCAGTCCAAAGCTACCTCTGAACTCTATATTTGTGTTACGCGGTACCCCAAAATAGCTGCATTTTGTGTGCTGGTAATTGAGTGTGCTTGTAATCTAATAGGCAGAAAGCACTTGCTGCCAAAAATCGATGGGAACAAATACGTTTTTGACAAGCTGACTTGAAAATTTGGCAGCCAGTAATCTCTAGATTTGGAAAGTAAACCGCTGTGCTAAGAAATAATGAATTATACATCTGAAGTTTTGACATATCTGCATTCGGGGGAAAAAAGAAATTAACTTTCTGCTGAAACCTTATCCCTGGAAAAAATCTGGTAGCAATGTCTGGATTTGTTTTTCCTCCATCTAGCGTACCATAGAAATCGGAGTGATTAAATATGGCTTTTATACCTATAACAATCGGTGAAATAATCAACTGCATGTGGGAAGTTCTGTCTTGTTAGCAACAGTGTAATGAGCACCAGATGCTGTCCATCTGACATGGTGTGCTTACCATGTTTGTGGTTGACTAAGATTCACAGTTGTGTTTTCCAATCCTGTCACTTGTAATTCATTGTAGTGCACTATAACTTCACAATAGCATTTGCAGGTCTAATGTCATAAATCCCTTGATAATTTTATTGCTAAATCAGATTGTAGTGGAATCGGACTTTTGTCCTAGGGTTACTTTTTGCCTCATAATTTGGTCTGTTTTTAATTTCTGCTCAGGACAGCTCATGGTTACAGTACAAGTAAAATTTAATTCATTTCCACTGAAATTTCTGTAACAGTCTTCATCAGTAGGGCACAGTTTCTGATATTAATTTGATCATGTGCTTTAATGCCAAATTCAGCTTTGGCTTCCTCTGACGCCCAATGAGATTCCCTGAGTTACACCCTAGGCTTTGCAGCAATTTTCATTTGCCATTGAAAGTTAGCTGTTTGCATCTTGATGTATGAACGCTCGATGTACCTGTGTACAATTTTATTTTCCCTTTATGCTGAAGCCATGTGAAATATTTGTGATGTTTCCCTGATGTTTAAAATGCTGACAGTGGAGCTGCAGAAATGGTGTTTTGGGTGGCTCGATGGACCAAAAGATGTCGCTTCCTCGTGACAC